CTGAAGGCGCTGGGGGCGGAGTCTGGCCCTGGAGGACTTTGGGGAGGGGCCTGAGATGGGCCCTGGGCCCTGTCCTGGCCTTCTTGCCACCCCTAGGTTTAAAGAGAATCCTAAAGTGAGGGCTGACTTAGACAGATCAGTACTGGCGGTGGGACTTGTTAAGGTCTGAGTGTGGAGAGAGAGAGTGGAGTGCAGGAAAGCCCCAGGACCTCTGAGAGCCTCTTACCCACGCGCACACATTCTTGCTGCAGAACTACTCTCATCGGAGTCTTCTGTGCCAGGAGGAGGGGACCTGGTTCCTGGCTGGGATCAGCGATCTCTCCAGTGGCTGCCTACGCCCCAGGGTCTTCCACCCCCTGCAGACCCATGGCCCGTGGATCAGCCATGTGACTGGGGGAGCCTACCTCGAAGACCAGCTGAACTGGGACTGGGGCCCTGAGGGGGAGGAGACCGAGACACGGACTTGTCCCCCGCACACAGAACATGGTGGTGAGGGCTCAGGGCTTAAAGTCTCCTTAGGGCTTTGGGACTTAGAGCCTCCTACGTGGGCTAAGATCCACGGTAGGGTGTTCAGGGGTCAGCTGCGGAGCCCCCACTTAAGTGGTCACCTCCTCTCCCTAGCCTGTGGCCTGAGACCAGAGCCCGCTGTGATGGGGGTCCTGTGGCCCTGGCTGGCAGAGGTGCACGTAGCTGGAGATCGAGTCTGCACTGGGATCCTCGTGGCCCCGGGCTGGGTTCTGGCAGCCACTCACTGTGTCCTCAGGTGGGTCTCACCCATCTCTTGGACGAGAAGGAAAAATTGAGAGATGGGCAAAAGGACTCTTAAAATAGTGGGATAGTCTCCCTTTAGGGCTCTTACGGTGCAGGGAACTGCGACAAGTGTTTTGAGATAGAAGAGAGACTTGGAAGGAGGAATTATGAATGGAGTGACCTTGCCCCTGATGAACGGAGTTCATTCTGCCCTGTCCCCTGCACTGGGAAGGACTTCACAGCGCCTGGGGAAGGAGAAGGTGACTTTGGGCTTTGTTCCAACAGGCCGGGCTCTACAACAGTGCCTTATGTTGAAGTGTACCTGGGCCGGGCAGGGGACAGCCCCCTCCCACAGGGCCACCAGGTGTCCCGGTTGGTCATCAGCATCCGCCTGCCCCGGCACCTGGGACTTCGGCCCCGCTTGGCCCTCCTGGAGCTGAGCTCCCGGGTGGAACCCTCCCCATCAGCCTTGCCCATCTGCCTTCACCCAGGGGGTATCCCCGTGGGGGCCAGCTGTTGGGTGCTGGGCTGGAAGGACCCCCGGGACCGAGGTGAGAGCCCGGGGTCCTGGGGGGTGAGACGTGACTGAAGGCCAGAATCCCCGCGACAGCCCTCTCTCCTCTCTAGTCCCGGTGGCCGCAGCTGTCTCCATCTTGATGCCACGACTCTGTCACTGTCTCTATCAGGGCATTCTGCCCCCTGGGACTCTCTGTGTTCTGTATTCGGAGGGTCAGGAGGACAGATGTGAGGTAAAGGGAGGGCAGAGGCAGTGCTGGGCAGCCGGACCCTAGAGAGAGAACAGGGCTGGAATTCCTGCGTGCTGGGCCCCAAGTGGGAAGAAGCGGTGCTTCCTGGCCGGACCTGAGAGAGACCAGGGGCCAGGAGGCCTAAGGAGGGGAACAAGCAGTGCTTTGTGGCTGGACTCTAAGAAGGGGCAGGGAATCGGGAGGAAGTGTGAGAGACCCTTTGGGGCTCGGCTCTCATACGCAGGTGACCTCGGCACCTCCGCTCCTGTGCCTGACCAAGCGACGCTCCTGGGTCCTCACGGGCATGGCTCTTCCAGGGAGCCGGGAGCTATTTGCTGCCATTGGCCCCGAAGAGGCCTGGATCTCCCAGACAGTGGGGGAGGCCCATTTCCTGCCTCCCAGCGGCTACCCCCACTGGCCCCCCGAAGGCAGCGACCTGTGCCCCCCCGACATGGCCAGCGCCCCAGGCTCCCCTCAGGCTGCCGTATTCCTGCTGCTACTAACCCCCCTGATGCAGGGCTGAGGGGGCCTGGGTCTCGGGGGGGGGGGCCCCCCCCTCCTCCCCCCCCCCCCCCCCCCCCCCCCCCCCCCCCCCCCCCCCCCCCGCCCTCCACTTCCCGCCCAGAGCGGCTGGAATGTGGCCCAACCGGCTCCGTTCCCCTGCCGGAGCCTCCGCAGCGCCCCGCCCACCCGGGCTGCAAGGGCCTTCGGGTAATCCGGCCTCAGCGCCCGACGGTTGAGGGCTCAGGAGCCTTGGGGGCAGCGGGCCGCGGATAATAAAGGTGTAAACCCAGGCACGTGGCCTTGTGGCGTTGCTGGGGGCAGGCCGAGGGGGCTGGGGGAAGCCCGGGAATAGGGCCCTTCCCCCCCCGGGCCTCTGTGAGTCAGGCCTTGGGCTCCCAGGAAATGTGTCCCCGATAACGTGGCAGCTATCCCTCATTCCCGCCCCAGGGCGGGGGACGTGCGGTGGCGGCTGGGCGTGCGTCACCTCCCCAGCGGAATCGGCATCTCTAAGCACCTGCTAGACACCTCAGCCCTAGCTCAGACCTGCTGCCCTCACCGCCCCCGCCCCTCAGAGCAAGGACTGCCGGTGAGGGTGAGGGAAGGGTCTCAGTCTGGGAGTCCGGGGCCTAGCATATCCCATGCCCACAGACGGCTGCCCCCTCATGTGCACACCCTGATGAATGCCCCGGGGTGTGTGCCGCCAGCGTCCCCGGTACACACCTTCGACGGTCCCCCACTTGCACAGCCTGCCCGGTGTCCCCAGAGTTTGGGCACCAACATGTGTCCTTGTGTGTACATCCCACTCCCTCACCCACCTTTTTTTTTTTTTTTTTAAGATTTTATTTATTTACTTATTTATTTGAGATCGAGGGTGCGGGCATGAGAGTGAGCGAGCACGGGGCGGGGGGTAGGGAGCAGCTGGCTTCCCTCTGAGCAGGGAGCCTTGATCCGGGGTCTCAAGAGATCATGACATGAGCTGAAATGCTTTACCAACTGAGCCACCCAAGCGCCCCCCCTCACCCACCATTTAGGAGTGCGCCTTCCTGCGTGAATTCAACCACATTCCCTGCGAACTACTAAGTCGGGGGGTCTGGGGGTCTGATAGATCAGTCCCTGAAGTGCTCCCAATGTAGTGGGGAGCACATATGGACACCCCTGGCTGGGGATTAGGAAAGGGTCACAGAAGAGGTGATGTTTGAGCACAGAAAAAGGGCAAATGGAGTGCCTGGGGTGGAAGCCAGCTGATGAGAGTAGCAGAGGGGTCCCCTCTGGGGCCGGAGTCACCATCTCTGGGTTGAGTGGGCAGAGGATAGAGGAGGGGAAGTAGGAAGTTCTTGGGAGATTGAGGAGATGGGCAGAGGTTTTTCTTTGTTTGCTTTTTTAAAGACAAACTAGTTTTAAGATTTTATTTATTCATTTGAAAGAGAGAGAGCATGAGAGGGGGGAGGATTAGAGGGAGAAGCAGACTCCCCGATCGATCAGTCGATTGATGGATCGCGACCTGAGTGGAAGGCAGTCGCTCAACCAACTGAGCCCCCCAGGCACCCCGATGGGCAGAGGTTCTTAAAGAGCCAGGCTCATCATTAGCTGCCAGATCCCGAAGAGAATATTACATCCCCACCTGGGTCCCATACCCAGTCAGTCACCCATATGCCATCCCCCACAAACATTTAATACACCCAACCCTCTCTACCCAACCCACCGCAGTGTCCATTGTTGCCCCCTCCTCCCCAGCAGTTAGCCTCTAGCCCCTCACCCACTCCAGGAATTCCCTGCTCTCCAGGAGGGGCCCTGAAGTTTTGGCTAAGAGGTCTTAGCCTTATGGAAAGTAGGTGGGGAAGTGGGGCTCTGTTTTTCTGAGGCTCGAAGCCAACATACATGCCCAGTTGCCCATAGACCCATACACGGACAGAGGATGAACCTGACCCCCATCCAGCCCCAGAGCCTGTGCCACCTGCACCGTCCACCTGAGGACGCTCTCCCCAGACCGCCCTTCTCCTCCATCTGCCTTAACGCCTTCCCAGAGCCCCTCAGGCCTCAGTTCTAATAGCACCTTCCTGAGGAGCCCTTCCTGATGCCAGCCTATGCGAAGCTCCTGTGAGCAGGCCCCCAGAGCCCCCATTCTTCTTTATCATAGTGCCTAGCTTGAAATTAGTCTGTAATTGCTATGTGATTATTTGATTCAGAGCTGTCAGCCCTATTTCACGGTGAGCTCAGTGAAGGCAGAAGGTGGTGTCTGTTTTGTCTCCTGTGCCTGGAACATAGCAGGCACTCGGGAAATATTTGTGAGATGATCGGCATTGCCATCACACTCAACACACCTCACCACACACAGATGCAGCTGCAGGCTCTATGGAAGGGCCTGAAATGGCAGGTCCGGGGCGGCCCCAGGTGTCCTGGGCTCAGACCCCCGGCCTAAGGAGGGAAGGAGGGAGGAGCACAGCAGCCCCAGGACAACCAAGACGGGGCCAGAACCTGGGGGACATAACTGGTCCGGGAGACTTGCAAGACCTGGGACAGAGGGCGGTGGGGTCACATTCTAGGGAGTCTAGCTATCAGGGATTTCCAGTCCCGCCTGGAAAACACACACACACACACACACACACACACACATATATACACACACACACCCACCCCTGGGGGTCTGGAAGGACTTAGGACCGTGTTAGCAAAGCTGGCGGAGCTAAGCGAGGAGGGCGGGGCTAGGGGAGGGGCAGGCAGGTAGGTGCCTTTCTCCAGGGATCCAGCACTCGAAGGTCTCTGCGTAGCCTGGCCCGACTGGAGACGTGTCCTCACGGGCGGCTGCGGAGACCCCAGCGTCTCCCTTCGTGCCTTATTCCTGCCTTCGAAGCTAGCCTTGGACGTCTCTTCCCCCTTCCTAGCACGATTCCAGGATCCCTTCCCTCTGGGGCTGATACCTGGAACTTGCCTTTGAAACCAGCCCTAGGTACCTTCCCTAGGGTGCCTGGTGTCTCTCCCCAGGGGCCCTGGTCCTGGGCCATGGCCCACAGGGCATGTCTGGGGCCTGGGTGGCTGGGGGCTGTGGCCATTCTGCTTTTACTTGGATTATTCCGGTCCGGACTGGGTGAGTATTTGCGGCGGTCAGAGAATGTGGGGCTTGGGGGGAGGGGTGGCGGACATAGGCCAAGGGTATAACCCTTTTCTGGGCACATCCCTTATCCCTTATCTCGGCTTCAGCCTCCCTAGCTCCGGGCCTCTCCCTCTCCCTTCGGCTTTGGCCTCCTGGGGGGTGCGGAGTGGGGGTGGGGGACAGTCCTCTGGAGAAGTGGCAGGTGCTGAGGGGTCTGGGAACTCTGGCCTTTCCTGCTTACCCTTCCCTCTTTCTCTCTTCCTCCAGGAGCAGACGGGGATGAAGGTGAGGCTTGTGTGGGGGAGGGGAAAGGAAGGGGCCTTGGATTCAGATTCCAACGGAGTGTTTCATGAGTGCCTGACCCTCTCTCCGGTAGGGCCCGCTTACCCATCCTTATTGCCTTGTGTAAATCCTCCCATTAGTCTGTAAGATGGGGACGGTAGCCGGCATTCTCTGGAGAAAGAAACTGAGGTACGGAGAAGTGACTTGCCCAAGAGCACACAGCCACTGAGAGGCATAGCTGGGATTTTAAACCCACGTCTGAGTCCAAAGGTACGACCTTTGAGGAAAACCAGCCAAGGCACACCACGCGACTCTGAGTCTGGTTTTCAGTCCCCGCTTCACCGCACACTGTGTATTCTTGGCCAGTCCCCTCACCTCCAAAATGAAGTCGATGATGTTTGCCTCCTGGGGCCCCAGTGAGGCCTCAGGGAGATAAGGTCAGTGAGTGAAAGCCCTCTCGTGGCCCCGCGCGTTGCTTGGGCAGTCACTCGTTAGTAGCTATTGTCGTTATTAGGAGGACAGAAGGAGGAGCTTGGCGGGACGGTTTGCTCTGCTCCGAGGACAGTGACTTTGGGAAGGGCTGTCGGGTCCTGCTCCAAAGGGCCGCAGCCTCAGTGGGGGTGAGGCTGTCCTGGAAACCAGGTGCTCAGTGTGGGAGGCCTGTTGTTTGTTCAGCTCCGGCTGTGTGCCCAGCCCCGTGTGCTGGGCACGGGGCACTAGGAGGTCTGCTCCAGGCCCCGTCAGCGGGCAATGCCCGGATTCTGTGCTGTCACAGACACCAGCACAACAGCTGTGTGAGGGGGCGGTGTTGGGGGTGGGGGGCCGGGAGCCCCCAGCATCATCCAACTCAGCCAGCCCCGTGAGGGCAGCTGAAGGAGAGGCTGACATTTGCATCACCTCCGTAGGCAAATAGGTTTGCTGAGCTGAGTAGGGAGGAGGAAAGGTGTGCTCGGCAGAGTGACCTGGATAAGCAGAGGTCTAGAGGCAAACAAGCGTGTGGCCCAGTGTGTGTGACAGGAAGTGTCCGGAGGGATGGCTGGACTAGGTGGTAGTGTCCTGGAAGGTCGGGAATGTATCTGGAGGGCAGTGTGGAGCCAGGAAAGGATTCAAGCTGAGGTGTGACCCGATCAGATCTGTGGTTTATAAAGATCTTCTGACTTGTAAGGAGTGGACGGAACGGAAGGTAGGAGGACCGGAGAGAGAGGAAGCTGGACGAAACCCGAGCTAGGTAACAAGGACGGTGAGGGGGCAGCACCAGCCGTGCCCACTGAGCAGTGGGATGGGGCCAGACGGGTGGCTGGCTCCTGTGAGCTCGCTTCCCAAGCTCCAAACCAGATCAACAGGAAGCGGCAGGCCCCTGAGGAACCCGGTGCGGGGGGCCCCAGAAGGACCTGACCCTCTCCCCTTCCTCCCTGGACAGCCTCCTGTGGTGTGGCCCCCCAAGCACGCATCACCGGGGGTGCTGGCGCAGCTGCCGGCCAGTGGCCCTGGCAGGTCAGCATCACCTACGACGGCACCCACGTGTGTGGCGGTTCTCTCGTGTCTGAGCAGTGGGTGCTCTCAGCTGCTCACTGCTTCCCAAGGTACCAGCCGGGGGGTGGGGGGGCCGGGGGGAGTCAGAGTGGGCTAAGGTCAAAGTTCAGGGATCAGCCCAGGCCAGAGGTTAGAGTTCTTGGGTTGGGTCCAGGGGTAGCAATAATTAAGTCCAAAAGGACCAGTCAGGAGTGGAGGCCAGAGGTCACAGGTCACAGGATAAAACTGATACGCAGTTTGGGATCTAAAAGGCCCCTTTGCCTGGGACCAGAACCTGGGGGTGGATGGAACGGGGATCCCCAACAGGGATCAGGGAACTAGGAGAGGTCTCCTGGGTCCCAGCCTTGGCCCCTCTGCCTGCAGGGAGCACCTCAAGGAAGACTATGAGGTAAAGCTGGGGGCCCACCAGCTGGACTCCTACACCCCTGAGGCCGAGGTCCGCACCGTGGCACAGGTCATTTCTCACCCCAGCTACCGCCAGGAGGGCTCCCAGGGCGACATCGCGCTCCTCCAGCTCAGGAGGCCGGTCACCTTCTCCCGCTACATCCGGCCCATCTGCCTCCCTGCAGCCAACACCTCCTTCCCCAATGGCCTCCAATGTACTGTTACTGGATGGGGCCACGTGGCGCCCTCAGGTGAGGTGGGCACTGACGTCTAGAGGAATGGGGGGGGGGGGTCTGACTCAGGGGAGGAGGCCCCAGGTAAGCATATTTTGCTCCCACAGTGAGCCTCCTGGCCCCCCGGCAGCTACAGCAACTTGAGGTACCACTGATCAGCCGTGAGACGTGTAACTGCCTGTACAACATCAACGCCAAGCCTGACGAGCCCCACTTTATCCAGCAGGACATGGTGTGTGCCGGCTACGTGGAGGGGGGCAAGGATGCCTGCCAGGTAAATGCAGGGGGGTCCAGTGAGACCAGTGCCTTTTGGCAGATGAGGGCCAGAGGGGCTGGCATGGCTGACCTGAGGCCCGGGGCCCCATCCTAACAGTGCTCTATGGCTTTTCTCTTCAGGGTGACTCTGGGGGCCCACTCTCCTGCCCCGTGGGGGGCCTCTGGTACCTGGCAGGCATTGTGAGCTGGGGCGATGCCTGTGGGGCCCCCAACAGGCCTGGCGTGTACACTCTGACCTCCAGCTATGCCACCTGGATTCACTATCACGTGACAGAGCTCCAGCCTCGCGTGGTGCCCCAAGTCCAGGAGTCCCAGCCCGATGGCCATCTCTGTGTCAACCATCAGGCCTTCAGCTTGGCCCCAGCCTGGGGCTTACAGGGGCTCGTCCTTCTGTTGCCACTAGGCCTGACCCTGGGCCTCGTCTGCTAAGCTAGTCATCCTGGGAGCTGACCCTGCTTCCTGGACTTCCACACTGCACCCAAGGACAGATGCATGGCCCAGGAATGGAGCTGGCCCTTCCCTGACATCTTCTGGGCCTGGGGGACTGGTTTGAGCCACTCCTTCCTCCCCGGACCTGTGGGAGCCCAGAGCACCATCCTGACCTTTGAGCCCCCTCTTCTGGGTTCGTTCTTTGGGACTACAACCCACAGTCAAAGAGGTTTACTACCTGTGGTATTGGCTAGAACCTCTGGCCACCTCCACCCGCTGGCTGGGCTCCTCTGGAGCCCCTGAGGACCCTTAACGATGAAAATGAGCCCTGGCTCCCCGCTTTGTTTCCAGAAGATTGGGTACCTGCCTAGTTAATTGCTGCTGAAGGGCTGGCTCCAGCACCCTGAGTGCTCCTTCTGCCTGATGAGCCCCATCACTTCACCCTCTTCCTGTCTCCTGAGCTGGGGCTGCCTCCGGGCAGCATATTCTTAAGAACAGAAAAGGCCCCAATCTTGCCCCATCGGCTGCCATGCCCTCCTTGAACCTCGACTCCTAGACTCCGGAGGACTGAGCCCCCACCGGAACTGGGCTTGGGCTTGGGGTGAGGGATAGAAAAAACAAGCAGGAGTAAAATGTCTTGAGCACAACTGGCCGTGTGTGACATGCAGCGAAGAACATCAGCTCTTGGCCTCTCCCTCCCACCTCCAAAGTCCAGAACCACTGGCAGAACTTACTTTATTAAAAAAAATGACGAAACAGGTCTGTACATATTTACAGGCGGGGGGAGGGGGGCAGGGAGGCACGGGTCCGGCAGCAGGGGCACAGCCCACTCACTTCTTGGAGAGTTTGACTTGCTTGTGCTTGGGGGGCGCCCACTTGAGACAGACCGAGTCCACTGTGGGGAGAGAGGCATGAGAGGCAGGGCTGGGCCTCTGGGCCCAGGCCAGGTTTCACCTCTAGGTGAGAACAAGGGCATACTGAGTCCTGGGGAGGGGGCAGGGAAACCTGGGAATGAGGAGCCTGCCCCAGGCTTCCGTCCCAGGAGCTGGTCAGACTAGTTTGGGATCGTGTTAACAGTCAAAAGGTAGCTTTGGCTCCCAGTAGATCTTAACACCTACCCCCGACCACACACACCCTGGGCAGCCCCCCACCTACCTGTTATGGGTGGTTTCTTATACTGGGCACTTTTGAGGTGTTCTTCTACCAGCTTGGGTGTGACACAGATCACATGCTGGCCCTTCCAGTACTTGACCATGTTGAGGGACTGTAGGGTGCTGATGATGTCATTCTGGGTGATGCTAGTCATCTGGCTGCAGAAAGGGATTAGCACGGACGTTGGGGAGAGTTCCCTTGTGGGGTCGGACTGGGACAGCAAGAGGGGACAAGGACATTGGGATCGTGGCCCATCTTAGAAGAGTCCTTCCCTCTTTAAGGGTTCCAGGGCCCTCACCTAAGGTCCTTGATGGATAGTGTGCCCCGGAAGTCTCGCAGAATCTCCAGCAGGACCCAAGACCAGTAGCTGCGGTAGCTGAGCTTGCCCAGGTCAGACAGCGGCTTCTCAGGGGAGCCGACTGTGCTCTCTAGCTTGGAGAGCTCGTAACCTGGCAGCGGTGGAAAGGAGCATGCGGAGGACCCTGCCCCGCCCTGGTGCCTCCCCCCTCCCCCGCCATGGCACCCCCACCACAGCTGCCCCTTCCTCCATAGGCTAGGAACCACTCACTGAAAGCAATGAGGAATTTGCCATAACCACGGCGCTGGTAGGGGGGCAGGGTCAGGATGCAGGCCACATTGTTCCCATCTGGAGACTCCTTCTCCTACAGGGATGTGTGTGGTCAGGACCTCTGGGGAGGCTCAGCCCCTTCTGCCAGTCAAAGTCCCCACCCTCCCTCAACCTGGGCTTCCCAATCCAGCACCTTCGAGAAGTAGCCAACGATGTGGGCCCCCTGCCTGTCCACCTCAGTCAAGATGTAAAAGACGAAGGGCTCCACGTCGAAGTACAAGGTCTTGTGGTCCAGGAAAAGCTTGGCGAGCAGACACAGGTTCTGACAGTAAATCTGAGGGGCAGGGGAGGTGGAAGCAGGCTCAGGGAGCAGGTATAACTCCCCACCTAGCTTCTCGGAGGCCTGGGCAGCGGCCGCCACCCGCTCTGCAAACACCAGCCTTCAGAGAGCAGCCAATGCCGAGCCGCTGAGAAGTGGGCCCCCCCCCCAGAACAAGAGCACTTAGAACCGAAAGGAGTCTTACAGTCATTTTCTGGATGGACAGGGAAACTAAAGACCAGAGAGCTCGATTAATCAGTGAC